TATCTGCCTTACTTGTCTAGTGAGACGTACCGGTAAGAGGATTGTATCATCAACGACAGCTTTCTAGATTATCATAACTAATATAGTAGTAATAGTTGTTAAGACCCATTAATCCGTACTGGAGCCGCGTGTACCCACCGCGAACTTTTAAACCCTACTATGGAGCAGCAGATCTGTATAACAATATACACTGATACGTAGAAATTGATATGGGACTCTTTTTACAGGTTACAGTACATTTACAGTTAATGGTTGCCCTGCTCGACCGAAACTATTATTTTTACCAGGAGTCTAACCAAGAACCTCTTGGGCTATACGCTATGATATCTATAAACAATGTGCAAAGTCTGTAGTTATAATAAAACGTTCAGATTTTACTTACCAAGAAAACGTTTGCGTGTTACCTACCAAAACAAAATGTTAGGATTATTCTACTGTGGCACATTACATGGACGGTTCTCTATTTGTTTTTCATTTAAAGCCAGTGACCATTCCGCTAAATTACAAATTAAAATCGCTCTACAGCTCCGTTGCCTATTATCATGTAAATTTATTGATACCGTTGAATAGAAACATTGGAATCGTTGAACACATAAATCTTATTAAAATTTGTTAAATTGTTTTAGCTTGAAGTTTACTGTATAATAAAATTGGATTACGATTCCGTAGTAATTTATTTTTGGAAGATATTGAAAAACAACAATACATTTTAAATGATAATATAACGTACAGCAGAACAAAAACCATAGGTTACAAACATGAAAAAAAATACTACAATCTATTAAGAATTATTATTGTACAAATTGTATATAAATATATTATTTTCTGGACGACATTATTTTAAATATCGTCTGTAGTTAGTAGAGTATTACCCATTTAAAGAAAATACTTTAACGGTTTAAACCGCGATATGTATTAGTAAGAGAAGTCTCCCCGTGACTACGTCTGCTGCAAAGAATCCGAAACGTCGGGCCGTAGTTAAAATAATTATCAAATATGTTTAACTAATATATATCGCGTTTTAAAGCGTAATTGTTTTATTAAAAAAAAAAACATAATTTTATACAATTAGGTGTTTACGTTAATAAACTCAAAGCAATCATTATAAAACCCGAAACTCAAGACCGATCCTTATGGAGGACCACTGTAAACGCCCTCTGCCCCAGTTAGGGAGGATATTAAGTCAATCATTAAATTGTTTATCATACGATAGGATATTGTTTACTTTTCTTTAAAAGCACCTTGCATTTTTGTATTTAAGACGATGTCATTATTTTGCTTTTAAAACTTTTATTAGGAACGTAATTCTTATGGTTAGCGGGAGGAAATTTTTCGTGCAATAATTTAAACTCATCCATTGTCTTCGATCTATAGAACTTCGCTATTTAGACTAATATTTACAACGGACGCGGAAAATGTTTACGGCCGTTAATCTTTCTGCCACTGTTATTGTGTCTTCACTTTGAATGTATTTGGAGCGCTTTATTCATCGACTTGTTTGATTTATTAAATGAAACCTACATTCAGAAGCACTAACTGAAAGGAGCCATTTTATTTAGTAGATTGTATTTTATACAATTTTATTCTTTAGTCAGTTTATCACTCAATATTACCCGTATATATAAACATAGAAATAGATTTAAACACCTCTATCACTTATGATTCATTTATTTGTTGTATGGGGTCTTTAGTTTCGTGAAATATTGAAATATTTAAACAATAGATTTCGAATTAATATCATTAGTGTTATTTACTTTCATAGTGTTTAGTATAGAACTATGAAGTCCTAAAGGGGTTTTTTTCTTCTAAGGAATTGTGCGTTTTTTAACGTTATTTTTTTATTATTAGACTGAATTAGTATTTTGTTTATGTGTCATGGGTAAACATCAGTCCACGAAGACAATCATGAACACACAGAATTGACTTATTTGCTTTTAAATATTTAGTGGTCAAATGTTTGTAAAGTAATTAATCATTTTTCAGGAGACTGGGAGACAATTGTAATGATGAAGTTTTATTTTGTTTTATTAAGCCTCTCGTGCGCGTTGATGATGCAATGTAAAACGTCAAGAGTTTGATATATCGACACTGGACACTGTGTCACTGACACGTCTGTATCAGATTTACTGTTCGCTCAAAATTGCCGAAAATAACATTGCTCTATCATTTCGGGAATTTCACTGCATTCAAAGATTGCAGAAATAATTGATAAGGGCATATAATTGCTGAACAAATGTGAGAATAAATGCATTTATTCCATAGACCGTATACGAATAAAAATATCGTATATTCCTAGTTTATACCAGTCTTATCATGGTTATAAGATCTAAAAGTCTAATAAATGTTTTAAATAATTACAAAATAGGCTTTCACTTGTTATTTCCCAGTAAAATAATTAAATAAAACACTAATTTAATGACTACTATTTAGTAAAATCACCATTGGTTAGCAAACTGTGTATTAGTTAAATATATACGTGGTCCTAACAGTGCCAAATAAGGAATTAATACATTTTCCATCCTAATGTTCTGCTTAGATTAAAATTGTATTTTATACAAAAATTTTACTACTTATTAAATAGTCAAAATTCCTTAGACCCCGCTTCAAAAAACAGGAAATTTCATAAATAAAAATAGCTATTTTGTTGCGACAAATCGCAAACTCCTATACCACAACACAAAACATTGTCCCCGCTACTCATTTTTCATTCGAGGTCTGAATAGCATTGGGTATTATTTTGTTTCGAGTTAACATTGTAAATAAATTGTCAACTTTTAATTTGAAATACTTGTAATGACACACATGTGACGAGGGTGTGCGTTAATAGGCGGAGTTTAAAAAAAATACCTTTACGAGCCTTTTGTTTCATACAAACGACAGTATCGATTTTTATATAGGCGGGAGAGTTGAGCCTTTATCCACCTAATTATGTAACGCTTGCATGTGAATTTGTTTGATTAGCTAGTTTATTTTTAAATATCCGATTGTTGCTTAAATGATATATGACTGGAGTATTTCATCTTCCAACATGCAAACTCGGTATTTGTTTAGCCTCCTCTGATGTTTTAAGCTAAGTTTATTAAGTGTAAATGCTTATAATACACAAAAATGTTTTAAATTTAACAATTCATGACACGCGTTGGTTCTGAACCTATTGCCGACAACAAACCGGGCAGTTGTTTTACTAATCTATAGCCGCTACAAATGTTTCGGTTTTAAAACTATTTTTATTTAAGCTGTCATGTGAAAATTTAAGTATTGTTTAATGTAGTAACAAGCTTATGACACCGAAAATGTGGAGTTTTAAGTCCTCTTCATCAGACATATCGAATATTTCAATAAAACACTTTAACGGTTTGAAACGCGATATATATAAAATTATTTTTAACTACTGCCCGACGTTTCGGATGCTTTGCAGCAGGCTTAACTTATATATATCGCGTTTTAAACCGGTAAAGTGTTTTGTTCAAATGTGTACTACTCGCGTCAACCTACAGACAGTATATCGAATATTGTATAGATTATATATATATTATTGATAGCACATTTCCCTAACCAAATTGATTAAGCCAGAACTAATGTATAAAAGCACATGCACAAATGTGGCTGTGCTACGCCCGAACAGTGAAGATTCCTAATTAAACGGGCGTTTTTACAGCAACCGTAGTGGGTTGCTGTAAAAATCTTAATAAATAAAACAACGTTGAATTCATCATGTACTCGGTCTGTTTAAACTTAATACTCGCTTACATCACGTATCCCGGATAATGATTTGTATCCTAATGCTTTGTTTAATAAAGAGAGTGAAATGCAAAATTCTTGTAGACTTGTATAATGTGATGAGTCTGTTTCCATTGTTTTAGGAGAGGGAATTTATTTGCATTTACATGTAGGATACTTTACCAAAATTACACTTTAATGGACTTTCAAATAAGTGGTTTATTTCAATTGTTTCGTAAATGTGATTGACATAACGCTTTATACAAATTGATCAACTGTGTTTTGAAAACTTTATTATTTTTTACATGTTATAATTGCACATGAAGGCACTATATGATTTTAATAACTTTTAACCGGCATCGTCAGCGTTCCGTGCTGTTGCTCTCGGTAGCTCAATTGGTAGAGCAACAGCACGGAACGCTGACGATGCCGATTCAAGTCCTGCCCAAATCGAAAATGTTTTCAATTTATTTTCGATTTTTAAATTATAACCGTGTTTTGTTAAAAAATACCTTTAGTTATGCTCGTTGTAGTAGTTATGTATGGTTAATAATCCAACATGTTTCTTATCAATTTATATTTTTTCTGAAACATGTTGGACATCGTCTGAAAATCTGGTTATTAAATGGGGGGTAGGAATATCGTAATTGTCCGGGTCATGAACCGCCGTTCACAAATGAAAAAGCCGTGAAGTACAATCGCATTTCATTTTTAGTCTATGGATTTTCGATGATGATTGATTAATTTTGTTTTTTTTAACCTTTCATCAAGCCAACCCCATGCTTCTCTGTCCACCTGTTACAAAGCCAATAAAAACCAGTAAAACATTTTTTTTTATCAAGCTTCGCAATCATCGAAATAAACTCGAAAGCCAGATTGGCGAAGCTAGTTGTGTTTGTCGAAATTGTGGGTTTGTTTTATAAAATTTCGCGGGGAAAATTCGTTTAAAACTTTTAATATAAGAGCCGCGAAGATTAAACTTCGGAACCGAACTTACTAGACAAAGAATATTATATGAACGGTACCAACTAGCAAGTTATAAGATGGCCGACGCCAAACCTACAAAGGCGTCACACTTTTGTTGAAATTTTCAAGGAAATTGCTATATTTCCGAACAAATTGCGGAAAGTGGCGCCCTCCTCCCCTTTCACTAACATTCTAGAGGTGCGGAGTTACATGCGCGCTCGACAATATTTTATATTACTCCTACTTTAGCGTTACGTTACACAATAACTCAAAGAGGTTTTCATTACTTTCAGGCTCAGCAATGACTCGTCGCAATGGTTGTACGCAATAGTGTGATGCAGGTATGTTAACTGATTTTTTTAACCCACTTTTATAGTTCATAATTAAAATAAATGGTTTAAAACGCGAAATATATCAGATAACTTAATACAACTCGATTTATCAGATGTTTTCTGTTGCAAATGCTATGGTAATATTATAATGGAATCATAGTCAAATATATGCCTTATATATTTCGCCTTTTAAACAAATGTTTCGTGTTTAAATAGTCTTCAGTGTTCTAATGTCCAATCATTACTTTACGTGAGACTAGTGAAGCAGTTTCGCAGCAGTACAATAAATTAAAAATACGTTAATATATTTCGTATTTTAAACCGTTGAAACTGTTTTATTTAACTCACCTGAACTACAGAAAATACTAGACCAGTGAAACGAACATAGAGAAGTGCCTGTTACATAGGAGAAAGATATTTTCTACTCTTTTTATCAAATAGACGTAGAAGTCCGTGAATTAAATATGACCCAATAAACAAGTATGTGATACAAAATTGGCATAATGAAGAGACTGATGGACATTTCATTGATTTTTCTTGAAACTTTTGGTCACGTTGAGGCAATATTTTCAGCATTAAAAGTATCCGGGCTCGTTCAATGTTGTGTGGGAAGTTAGACAATCACTTTCGCCTAGACGAAGTTTACAAAGACCTTATCCAGGGAAGTTGGAATCAAGTTAAATTCCCGGATGGAACAGAATGGTACTTTTTCCAATATCCGTTGTACGGTTACCAGTTCTGAGATCTGCAACAACATTTTGAGCACTTTAAACTATTGTCTGACATGGCTTTTATTTTTACGAGATTGTTTCGAAGCTTTTTCGACTTTTGCTGGTTACGTTCGGGGTATTATATGTAGTTTACGCAAATAGCATTAAACTCTTTTAAAGGCTTCAAATACAAAATATAATATTACAAACTTACATAATAACCGCCCATACCCATAATATCTGAGCCCCAACTTAGTATTACATTTCAATTATTTCAAAGTAGTAAGTATGTATAATATATCTTTGTTAAACTAATACCCATGAACTAAATGAAGAGATCTAAATGAGAGAGATATCGTAAAGATTTTATTTACATATTTCTACAAGGTTGCACATTCGGCCACGAAAACAAAAAATAAAAAACTGCAACTCTTTTTTTAATTATATAAAAAAATCACGACTTATTGGTAGTATTAACAATACGCCACCACCCCCCTTTTCACACCTACTTGTGACGAACAAATCCCTTGAACAATCTGACACACGCCACATAATATCAACACTTGAACGAACAAGTATTATTGTTTTGATATCATTTTTCCAGCTTATCACAGCTTTAAAGAGTTAAGCCACAAAGCTTTACGCAGTTTATCAGCAAGTTTTAAACACCCACTTAATGCTATCGCTAGTTTTACGTTCGTGGAAATATCGCAACAATGTATAACAAAATAAACTATGAAAGTCGAACAGGCCACTATGGCGGGTCAAGTGGGTATTTACTAAGCACTTGATCCCTTTTAAACCAGCTTGATTTTATCCACACGATCAATCATAGTGGAATCCCGGGTTTGAGGAAGTTTCGTTCTGGAGTTTATTTAATAACCGTTTAAGTTTGCCAACATTGATTGATAACATGATGATTAAAGTTTACACGGATTCTATTTTAGATGGAAAAGTATTTCTGAAGAACAAGTAACAGCGATACATCACTTAGTGAAAGTATACCGAGAAAATGTTCGCCGATATTGATAACAGTATTTTCCAATGAAAGTTTGGCATATATGGTTTTTGATTAAATTATTCCAATGAGCTGAAATTAGTATGTCAAAAAATCCTACTAAGATAAAAATATTCGCTTCTGTTTCGTAAAGAAATAACAGCGGCCCTAAAACCTGACACGATAATCAAAGGTTTTCTTAGTTGTTCTATACGTGACCTAATAAGACTCAAAAGTTGTTCACCTAAAGTATAAATCTGCTGTCCAAGCTATAGCATATCTTAGTATGAATGATTTTCTAAAACTTAACGTTGCGATCACTTCAACAATAACATTATTCTGGAGATTTGCCAGAACCCTACAATTGTTTTGCTCGGTTTGTTTTGCTTCTATGCAAATGACTGACGACATTTAAAATGTACATATTGATTTATTTTACGTAGTGACAAATGGCTACTTGTGAATTCTGCTTTATCATTTTTATTTTACAATTGGAATTTTAGTAAACGTGCAAAGCCTTTGGTTTACGCGAGTAGGGCATATTTAATAAAACGCTTTAAACAGTTTAAAACCAAAAATATATTTCAGCTTATTTTAAATTTATTTCAAGTAAAGTAGCAGTTTTGACTTCGACTTTAGGGGTGAATATTTCGAGTTTTAAACGATTATAAATGTTTTATTTAAAAGACAAACATTTTTAAAGAACAGGTTAATTTTAATAATTTATTCTATAGTTTAATTTTCCGCGGAATCAATACCATGATCGATAACTATCATGTACTAATTGTCCACATAAGTAAAATTTTCCGCAGTTACAAAGATGTATTGAAAATATAATAAACTTTTTCGATGTCACCATTCTATACTAGGTAGAAGTTAAACAATATTTTATGATTTTAAGATCCCTGCCAAGTTATTTATTATCCTCCTGTAAGCGTTAAGCTTATTTGTTCTGTTGGCAATTGGTAAGGGTTCAAACATATTTCAATAGAACATCGCAGCAGTAAATTCAGTTGGCGCTGGACAAATAATTCCAAAAGCTTGTATCCTGCCAAGCTGTTCACTTTCTGGAGCTATGGTACGCGGGAGACCTATGAAGACGTTATTGCCTTTAAATTAATGTAAAAAGATCACGAATCGGGTTTTTTATGGTCTGGATGGAAAGACAGTTTATGCAAAGAATTTTTTAAATTGTATCCATTGATTTGAATAATTTTGAAAATGTTGCGTCAAAAACTCCGTTAATATAAGCGTTGTCGTCCAACATGTTTCTATTTTTTCAATTGATATTTTTTCTGGACTTACAAATTCCGTCCGGGTTACGAACCATCGTCCATAGACGAAAAAGCCTTGAAGTTTAATCGCGTTTCGATTTCAGTCTGTTGATTTCCGAATATCCAAATCCAAAATATGTCAATAGCGCATCTAAACAAGATCCGTCCGTTTCTGATTTTTCAATTCATAATTTTTCTGGAAATCTGTATAATAAATGGGTGGTAGGAATATAGCAATTCCGTACGGGTTACGAACCACCGTCCACAGACGAAAAAGCCGTGAAGCTTAATCTCGTTTCGATTTCCAAATAGTTCAATAGCGCGAGTGGTTTACATATTACATGGCTGGAGTATATCACCCACTATCAAGTGGACTCCATGTTAATCGTCCTCTATCATTAAAAAAAGTAACAAGAAGTGCACACCTGAAAGTAGACTTTATAAGTATGAAATATCTTCTTCCTAAAATACTTTCGTCCAGCACTAAGATAGTCAAATGGACCCTCATTATAGTCCGTCTTCTTTTATTTAAGAACTCCAATTAATCTTTGTTTAAATAATTTTCACGAGTATTATGAAAATACGTATAATTTATTTCACGTATTTAACTTGACGACGTCATTTTTCCCGGACGCGAAGAAATTATTTACACAGCTTCCCCTTCTATTAAAAAAGTGTCGCGTTTTGGAGTTCGTTAATTGCAATATTTAATTTACAGCAGTTAATTAAATTACCCAACGTTTAAATAACAAAGGGACTAGTGTACATTGTTAAGCATTGTTTGTTCTTCAGGAATTATTCTTTTCGTAAGACGCCTTTTATTTCACAAAGTATTTTACTCGTTACTAATTGTATAATAACCGGTTTCTATGTGTAGCTGTTTGCCAAGATTACAAAAGAAATTACATTAATTATTAACTTAAACAGTACAGGAAAAGTCAAATCTGAAAATAAGCGGTATCCGACGTCTATTCCCATGTTCGTCGGATTAGCCTGATGGAGGAAAACTCACTTTCAACTGAGGACCATCTTTAAGTTGGTATAAATGGTTTCTTTCATTTCCTCCCATAAGGTCTTCATTACAGTTTTTTATATATTCAGTGCTTTTTTGAGATATAAATTAGTTAAACTGATTTAAAAAATATTTTATCTACGGCCCGACGTCTTCCCGTGATCACGGCTGTGGCAAAACGTCCAAAAGGTCCAGCCATAATAAAAATAATTTTGAAATAAGTTTAAACAAAATATATCGTATTTTAAACCGTTAAAGTTAATCAAATAGCAGTTAAATGTGTACTACTCGCGTAAACGATAGACAAGACTTAAGTTATTATAACAGTGACTATCAATCGATAATATATGTCGACGTACTTGTTACTCCGAAGTGGCAATATCGAGTCGTATTATAAATATCTTCTCAAACTGTTATATAACCATTAAAGCTATACTGCAAGGCTTTTATTGCTCTTGCTCACACTTCGCTCGAAAATTCAAAATCGCATATTGATCAGAATCAAGCTCATATGCGATTTTGAAGTATATTGCACGACTTTTGTATATGAATTGTGCTATCAGAACTCCGGGTATATTGGAAATTCATTTAGTAAAGGTTTCCTTTATTATATTACATTAGAATGTTCTTGTGGGACAGTGTGGGTAAATCCGATACCGTAGATGATAAAGGGAAAATGTATTACGAACCGTTTAGTCTTTTTTTCCAAAAAATATAAAATTATTTAATTATAGAATTCATGAATATTGTATTAATGATGTAAGAAAAAAATCTCAGCAGCAGGAAATAGTAAAATTTAATAAATAATATCTCATGCAACAGGCTACTGAAGGTAAATATCTGATGCAACTTTGATGCTTACGCGTACTAAAAGTGTTCTGAAATAAATTTTAAAATATACAAATTTAGAACAAACTTTGTTTTTACGAGGTCTCATACATTGGCACTGCGCACACGCAGGCAACTTAATAGGTATTCCTCTAAATTATACTTTTAGTAGAAGCTAATAATAATAGTAACTGTTCATAAACTAAATAAATAGTTTTCTTTTGGTTCCTGTATGACCAAAAATGCAATTATATAAATTTTAAAAAGTCGAAACATTTATGAATTTTAAAGTAGTATACATTTCGCGTTTTAAACAGTTAAAAGTTTTATTAACGTGTACAACTCACGACACTACAGACAATATAATAAATGTTCAAACAAAACGCAGAAACAAAACTGCCGTCAGTCCACAAGTTTTAAGTAGATAAATAAACTAATTGGCTGGGAGCTTGGAACTCATCTTGTTATCCCCAGTGGACGGCGAGTAGCTGTTGATTTACACGTTCCGCTGATAGCCACCTTCGTTACTGCACTTTGTACTTCTTTCGCTCCGTTACACTCGCTTTATTTTTAGCTCACTTTTGTAGATCGCGCTCAAATGTTTTTGTTCCTCGAATTTTAATGTATACTTTTCACTTAGCGGAGATAGCGGGCCGTCTGTTTAGAAAGTGGGACATAAAACCCGATTTTATCTAGCTAAAAGCGTCAAATCTCTTTACTCGGGTTCAGTGTCTGCTTAAATGGGATTGAGATAACACTGGTAAGACGACTAAGTAAAAGATCCAATACATATTATATTTTTAATGAAAATATTACATAGTTGAAAAGCTGGTTTGTTTGTTTAAAAGCGCTTATATCGGGTACTTCTGGTTCGAATTGATTCCCTTTTAAAGTGAAAATTATGGAAAATAGGGGTAAAAGTATTCACCAGGGCTTCCGCGTGCGCCGCGAAAACAATTCAAGAAACCAATAATATGTGAAAAAGAATTATTCCTCTTTCAATTGTTTTTAAAAAAAGTCGCGACAGAATTTGTCTAAGTTTTTAGGATTACAAAAACCATTTTCTATTGTAGTCAAATTTGGACTAAATTAATGAATTATTACCAATTAGTTATATTAACAAAATAAAATTCTTGCAAACAAAAAAATACTTTATCTCGTCTTTTTCTTAAATAATGTTATAACTAAGGTATATTTATATCAATTAATTTTTTATACTTACATCTAAGTATAATGTAATAAAGTATAATTTGAAAATATAATATCAATTCGACGGTTCCAATTAACATAACTTATTACTGTTAGCAAAATAACGTCTAAATAAGGATTCATTACAGAATACATAAATAATATCATTAGTTTTAACGAACTTTCATTCAATACGAAAATAGCGAGTTTCCAAGAGGACCTTGTGTTTCATGTTTATCAAATGAATATTATCTAAAATGTTATATTGTAGGAGCTTAACTCGCGCTAATGAACTGCAAATAACGTATAATGTTATATTAAATTATGTGATAATAACCACTCATCGTAATTAATTAATAGCCTAATGTGTTTCCTCTAATTATGATGCATTGTATGTCAATAAGGCTTGTAGGGCTGAATAATAACTGAATTCTGAAATGTGCCATCACTACCCAATGAATCATTGTGTTTCTAAATCATTATAATTCTGAGCATTCATTTACATCACTGGACTTTTTAACTAAAAAAATTGTCTATTAAACTATTTGATAATATTAACCAGGAACAACAATATTATTTAAATAAAACATCTTTAATTGTTTAAAACGCAACGTTTATGCACGGCCTACGGATGCTGTGCAGCAGATGCGGACAGAAGACTGTATTATTTTCAAAAGCTAAAGTAAAGTATTAAAATGATCAAATAAATGGACTAATTAAATATTTATTTGAATTATCAATTACGTTTTTTTGTAATTTGTATATAACTTATTTTTAAGTGTAATTCTTTAACTATGTGTACTTCAATACAGTTAATCTGATTGCCCATTGCCGTTTTAATTGTTTATAATAAATAAATAAATTAATTAAAATCATCGTAAGCAGCAAATTGGAAAGGTAAGGTTTATATTCTTTTATAATCATTCTACTGGAGACGCGCTTGGGCGTTGGAGTTATATATTTGACTGTATATATTATATAGTAAAAACCAGCCGAAAAGTTTTGCCGAATATTCGGCTATTTGTTGCAAGCCTAGAATTCTCTTTTCTGTAACGACACTGTAACGTCGACGGAACTGCAATTATGATTAAACGAATGTCCTTTCTACAAAACTGTACCGTTTCCGTAATACAATAGTAAAAATAAATACAAAATTATACCCCATAACATCAACCATAATTTTCGCGGTACACCGCAACCGCTGAAACAAAATAACATTTCTCACTCTATTCATTAAAATTTATATCTGATACTCAGTTAAACTGGCAACCGGCGGACGTGTTAAAAATACAAACTCAACGAGGCTTAGTTCACTATAAAATAAAACGGATATTTATTTCGGCGTCGCATAGTCGAATTTTAACAACATTGTGGCCACGAAACTTTTAAGTTCGCCGAGACTTGTTGTGCTGTAAAAAAGGTCCGAGGCATGTGTCACCCGCAGGCCACAGCTTAGAAAGATAGCATTCTTTACGCTGGACTTGAACGTAAGTTCTTGTAAGCTCTACGTGAGATATTTTGCTGGTATTTTATAGCGAATGATTGGACTGGAACGAACCACTACACTCTCTTGGGAATTACATGACAGTTAATTTTGTGTAACTTATACAGCGCTGGACGTGTTGTGTGTGATATCAAAGTTTACAGACTTTATTCCGTGCTTGTAAATGTGTTTTATTAAACTTTACGTATGTTTAACAGATAAGGTTATTATGTGGATAAATTTTTAAAATTAGATTTTATTTTTAATATTTATCACCCCCCCCCCAACCCCTATTAGTTTACCCCTGCATTCAACACCAGTTTTACAACTAGCTGTGCCCACAACTTCGTACTCATGGAATTGTTATTTTCAGGATATTATCTATTTTTACAAACACGACGTCGTCGGCGTCCCATTGTTCTCAAGAGTTAGTCTTAAAAGACAGACATACACTGTCGTAGACAGATTCTTTTAGATCATTTGAATTGTAATCATTCTTTCGCACATATATTTTAGGTATCTTGAACAGTTTTCGCAACGCACTCAACGGGAACTCTCAAAGGTGAAGAAACCTACCCGTTTTTACACGTTTCCCACTGTTTTTTTTGCTCCTATTGGTCGCAACCGGATGTTTTATAGACTTCCTCGAGAAATGTTCCAACTAACGCTGAAACATTTTTTCAATTCAAACCTTAAATAAAAAATTATTTGCTGAAATTAGTGAATCCTAACAAAAAACCTCTTCAACTTTATATATAAATATAAATTATATATAAATTACCCAACAGTTAGGCATTGGAGACTGAAGATTACATGTATTAGATACAACGGCTGAAACCCGTATTCTTAATATATTAAAATCCATTTGTTTATCAGCTCAACAAACGAAAATCTAAAAAACTTTTTCGATAACAGTTTTGTAAATTTCGAAAATTTTCCATTCGATCGTTTTTTGTTTTAGATCTCTAGCCGATAGCGGGATTAAAAGAGATTGGTTTTGTTCAGAGATTATCAGTTATGACCAAGTTTAAGTTGTTGAAACAGTGGTTTTCGTTTGGAAAGTTTTATTTAGGTCAACCACTAAATAGGCTTTGATTTTTTGCAAAGTCAATCTATGTCAAATCTTTTAAATGTATTTATGAATTCCTTCTTTGATACTTACGGCGAGTAAGTACTGTGCTATTTTTGTTCTACGTAGAACATAAAAGACCGATATTGAACAGACATAATATAACTCTTACGTTTTTATAAATTAGATAGAGGAAGACAGATAATCATGAGATTCACTTGATGGAAGATAAAGTACAATAAATAAATACAATAAAATATCGGCTAGATGCCCTCTCAACCTATTTAGACTTTGGACATTCGGAAATCCACCTACCGATGCGGGTTTTAACTTCACGGCTTTTTCATCTGTGGACGGTGGTTCGTTTCTTGGTCAGAATTTAGATATATCTCCCACCCGTATAATATCGCTTAGAATATTATTATTATATACACAATGATTTCAACTAATCAGTTAGTAGTTTTAAATGAATCATGTGATCTTTTATTTTCTCTTGGTAGCCCGACGTTTATATTTGGACCAGTCGCGCTGTACTTTCGATCTTAATACTTACGAATTGACCTTTATTGACCTATGCTTTTCATCAAATGAAAGTAGTTGAAGATTAAATTCCAAAATTAAACTTAGTTTCTCATTTTAACAACTACGCATCTAATGAAATATGAAAAGTTTAGGTAATGCGACTATTCTTTGTACTTATAGTAGCAATTAAAAATTAAAGGTTTATTAATAAAGTTTAATAACAAATATTCTCCTGTTGTTTCAGTTATCAGCGACGCTAATAGCCCTGCTGTCCATTCGCGTAGCGGATGAAGGACACGCCGTTAATCCAAGTAAGTACTTTGCCCATGAAAATGATAAAAATAGAACTTTACGCGGCCATTTTATGAAAAAATACGTTAAATCGTCGTATTGTTTATGCTTTTTATGAAAGCGAATAACTTTTTGATGGTTAAAGAACCAAAAGTACGAACGTCATAATACTCGTATTTTCAAGAAGCTTTGTGTATTGGTAGTAATGTAGGACTAAGAAACGGATCGTGGGTTCAACCTACCGGGTCAAACATATATAAAGAAATACGTTGGACTTTGTCTGGAAATCTGGATATTATATGGGCGGTTAGAATATCGAAATTCCGTCGGGGTAACGCACTCCATGTTTGTTAAACATACACACGTTACAGATGGTGTTATTTATCCCTAATATGAATCTGAAGTGTTGAAAAAAGGTATTAAATCGCAAAAGCGAATGATTAAATGAAATCCAATCCAATGACGCAACCGACAGATGACTGATCTCCTAATCTTCAAGAACAAGACACAGGCACACCCCAGTCATCAATATTAACAGATACACTGTAGCCGTAGGGATCTTCAAATTCCGGATAATACTGGTATTATATTAGAGATAATCAAATGCACGTGAATATTCATTGGGGCTGGATTTGAGAATATTACGCTCGATATCGAGGACGCTTAAGTTAGGGAATGTCGATATTAACCTATTAGGGTATAACTAATAGTAGAGAACGGCCAGTTTCAACTCGTTATAATAAAAATTTATTGAACTCTCCACTGTGTTACTGCGGTGTGGTCTAGCAAGGGTTTTCGTTGGGTTTTGTTGACAGGAAAGGTATTTCAAGTCTCGCATTACGGGTGCTGATTTGTATTCTCGACTAGCTGTGCCCACGACTTCGTCCGGCGGGCATCATAATATTATTTATTTTCAAATAATTTCACAGTTTTTTGTTTATAGCTGTTACCCACGACGTTGTGGTCCGCGACGTTTTCTACATATTTTTTGGTTTCTTGAACCGTTTCTGCAGTGCAAGCAACGGAGGCTAAGTTCAAAAATAACTGATTGAAGTATAGTTTCTCTGAATTTGAACCTAATACTTAACCTTATTACGGAACTCACTATTAAAAATCTGTATATTTTTTTATAAACCGTCGACGATACATTTTGTGAAATCTGTTGTATTAAAAATGTCTTCTTGTTTAGAAAAAAGGTTGTACAAAAAAGATCAGTCAGAATATTGTTTAAAAAGATAAAAAATAGATTGATTCACAATCCACTTTGCAGAAGCTTAAAGTATAAAGAGAATATGTCAAGTCGCCGTAGAAACATAGAATAAAATTTTAATAAAAGGACCGACACGACGAAACTGGGAGCCGGGATTATAAGCGACTGTAGACCAGGGAAAAGCATTACACGGCCGACATTCATATTTTATTTGTAGCCAGGCACTCTCGGTTATTAGAAACTTTTGGATTTATGTCGAGTGTGTGTTTAAAAATGATATTTATTATTTTACACCTAAAATACAACTGTGAGTCTTAGGGATAGCAAACTTATCTAGAGGATAAGATCGTTGACAGAATACCAACATTAAACTAGCTTCACAATAGTTTTGTTCAGTTATTTTCTAATCTATTTAAAATACATGCAAATATAATGGATTTTTATCAAAGTGCGCTACGGGTGTAAGTTCATCCGCATCTCTTTTCTTAAATAAAATATATTCAATCTATATTAGCTTTATTTGAAGATTAAAATATGATTGTATGTATGTGTTGTATTTAATATAAATCAGTGATATTCGTATGTAGGGTCAAACTGAAAATCTTGTGCACTACTATGATGAAGGTCGTCTCTGGCATTTGGAACCTACAGAATAATTGCCAAATATCATAACAGTAATCTATTTTATTAAGTTTATTTAATTTCCAATTAAAAATAAGTTTAACTTGATGGCAAATAATAACTGTTTTCTTTCTTCCTCAATGAAAAACATACTCGTATGTTTATTTATTGCCTTTCTTTAATTTCTTATGTACCGTTATTTGGAAGAATTATAACTAATAATCGTATCGTATATATTATATGACTATAAAGATGATTATCTACGAAACGTATATACTTTCAACATGTCGATACTAGCGGTAAGCCTATAAGCTTTGGAAATTTGGAAAATCACAACCAAAAACGCAATTAACGGCTTTTTCACCTGTGGATGGTGGTTTGCTACCCGGACCAGATTATTAACATTCCTGCTACCCAATTAATATCTAGTTTAACATGTTTCAAAAAATATATATAAAGTGGTGGGGATCGAATCCACGACCAATGGTTTATTAGTCATACATTACTACCATTAACAACGAGTTCCATAATATATCTCATCTTGTTATGTATTGAACTACAGGCTATGTCTCTAAACTGCATGTAAGTAACCTGAAATGATAAAGTACCGAAGTTATTTATTGTGTCGTTCGGCCGGTGGTGCCGGAAATTGTGTCGGTTTGATCTCGGACTAAACCAGCCCGAATTTATTTTGTTTAGAATTTCGAGTAAGCGAGCCGTTTAAATATGGACGATACTGCATTTGGACTTTTAACCGCAAAATTAAAAATGCAGTGCCTACCGAGCCGAAATATTGTTGTTTGTTTGCTTTTGTATTTATAGAAAATATTGTTTTACTGAAAACAATAGGTATTTGCGTTATTACTGTTTACCGAATTTTCTAATATATATGTATGTTATAGAGTTGTGTATGTTTTACTTTGTAGCTGGTAACCCAAGGTTTTATATGAATATGCTCAGTCGTAAAAAAGTTTATGTTTAATATTTTTTTAATATAGAGGAGAAAACACTAAAATGGCATTCATTTGATGGGAGGTGCAATTTGGTTATTCGGTTGTTTTAAATTACAATTTAATCCAAATGATATATTTTTTAATTACTATGTTTTAGTATCCTTGACACACAGAACATAATAAAACAGTAGCTGTATTGTATTTTTCATTAATGAAATATAACTGGTTTCGTTCATAGTAATTTCGAGCTAATATTTCGTCGTGAAGGGTATAAGTAAAATAACCATCCCTCTGGAATTTGAGACGCAGAAGCTCGCGTTAACTAATGTAACTTTTGTCATGTCTTCCTAATTTATGTTGTAACTTAATCTCATTAAATTGATTAAAATCTTCAATCCTCTTAAAAGTAAAGTTGTCTGATGCCTAACTTCGTTAGGAAGCTTTAGAAGAATTACTTTTATAGCGGAAAACAGACAGACATGGAGTTCGCTTGATGGTAGGTGAAACAGAGCTTATAGCATCTAATCTTTTGACATTGGATATTCGGAAATCCACAGACTGAAACCGAAACATGATTTAACATCACGGTTTGTGGGTTGTGAACTGTGGCTGTTAACCCGGACGCAATTTCAATTTTCCCATCACCCTCTTAATACCCAAATTACCAGACGATTCAAACATGTTTCAGAAAAATTATAACTCGATTAAAAATATATTAGACCCGGTGGGGATCGAATTCACGACCCGTTGATTGTCAGAGGTAGGTACATTGCTACCATTACACGAGCTCGTCTAAAATAAAAAAAAAACTGTATTTATAAGGAGTTTGGAAAGTATATTTATTCACTCATGTCACTTGCAAGGTCTTTCTGACCTTGGAACATATACATAAATTACCCACATGCCAAAGTATGGTTATTTTAAAATACCAAGGTAACCAGTACATAAGTATGCTGCATAACTTATTATTTTGTTTTATTTAAACATCTATTTAGATCGGAAACTGAACCGGCATTCATATCGTTCCATGCTACTCTACGCAATTGAGCTACCGTGTCCTCAGATATCAGTTTGACGTGCTCGATGGTATAATGGTAGCAATGTATGGCTAATAATCTACGGGACGTGGGTTCGATCCTCACCGGTTAAAACATTTTTTCAATTTATAATTTTTCGTTCACAACATCTGAAAATCTGGGTATTAAAAGGATGGTAAGAGTAGACATATGATAAGTGGTGAAATTTAATCGCGTTTCGATTTCAATCCGTGGATTTCCGAATATCCAATGTTAAAATAGGTCGATAGCACATCCTGTTTCTATATTTATGGCTGGGGGGTCACCTAACATTTAGCGAACTCCATGATTATCTGTCCTCCTATAACTATTATAAAAAATGATGTGCGATAACATGTGAAGAATATTAAAGCCAAATACTGTCTATAGTTTACGCGAGTAGTATTCATTTAAATAAAACACTTTAACGGTTTATAACGCGATATATTAGTTAAACTTAAATAGCTTTGCAGCAGCATCTGAAACGTCGGGCCGAAGTTAAAAATCACTTATTATATAAGTGTAAGTAGTAAGTGTGTGGTTTTATTTAAATATTGAAGTTTTCAAATATATAGCTTGATAACTATATAATCGAAGTGTACAAGCATTCATAATCATAATTATAGTACGGTAAGCGTAAGATCCAGTCATAATTATTAATTGGATCATTTCGTGAGACCCTCGATATAATGATAGTATTTGGGAAAATTGATGCCGCCAGTTGGAGCCACTTAGGCAAAAACCTTTCATTAATTATTATTAAAATTAATAAAAAGAAAAATAAGTGAATTATAATATTTTTATCAATTATTGATAGCTGTCGGACTTTTTGGTCTAATGGCAGCAATATTTGGCTAATAACCAATGGGTTGCAGGTTTGATTCTCACTGAATTGTGTGCTTTATGTTTCTTTTAGTTTATTTGCCTTGACATTTTAAAACCCGTATAGATAATTTGCCCGCGTAAAAAGTAAAAATGTGAGAAGTGTAAATCTACGTTTTCGGTTTCAGTCAACGGATTTCAAAACATTCAAAGCCGCAATAGTTCGCTAGAACTTCTTAATTGGATAATATAGTGATAGCGTATTTCCATCAGGTCATTCCCATGCTTGCCTGAAAAAGTTTTTTTTTATGTTAACGTAATAGTACTAATATTCAAGATGTTTTGTTATATAAAAAATACTTCTAACTTCATGACAATGTTGGAATTGTTTGTAGACAATTTAATATTAAAAGTTGATTATATGTATACTAATATTATAAAGATAAAGAGTATGTTTGTTTGTTCAATAAGGCTAATCTCAGGAATTACCTGTTCTAATAAGAAATATTGTCTTGGTTGTATCACAAAAAAGCTTGAGGATAAAAAAATCAGTCTGCGACCAATAGGAGCGCAGAAATAGTGCGAATTGTGGATAAAAAGGGAAAAGAGGGAAAGATATTCATCTTTAAACATTACGTGCGCTTCGATATGAGTTCGCGATACGAAAAAAACATATACAAAAGTATAATTCTTCTTTAAATAATCTCAATAAAATGTTTCTTTCAAGATTACCACAAAATAACCGTTTCTATGTTAAGTAAATTTAGTCGAAATACTTCATATAGTAAAATATGGACAGTTGAATCTTATATTTTGTCGAATTTTTAGGTTGTTCGTGCATCCGCTTCAGTGCTGACGGTAGAGGCGGTGTCGAGCGGGGCACCTTCAGTAGTCCAGACTACCCGAGACCTTACCCACGAGCTCTGTGCCTCCTCTACACCTTTCTTGCTCAGCCGCATCAAATAGTAGAGCTTGTGTTCAGCGAGTTCGACGTCTACAAAGAACACCTCGAGTAAGTCAATCAATACTTACTGTCTGTAATCCAGGCGAGTACATAATATTTACATATTTATTTCGTATGGTTGTCTGGAAGTTATAGTTTTTGGCGATTAGGCTGCACGAGGTAGTCCGAAGTTGAAAAATATTACTGATATTATAAGCCAAATACGGAAAACAAATATCTATGAAAACACTTATCAGTTTTAACGGTTTAAAACGTGAAATGGGAATGGGATCCGCGAGAAGGGATTTTGCAAAACATTCATAATGTGGGTGTATTTACAATAATTTCAGTTAAGTTTAAATAACACATTTCGCGTATATATCTTTTGACTGTTGTAATTATTTATAACAAATAATATAAGCAAAGTATGGCTAATAATCAACGGATCGCGGATTCGATTGCCACTGGGGCCAAATTTTTTTGATTAATTGTTTTTTTTTTCTAAAGCGGGTTGGACTTCGTTTGGAAATCTGGATATTAAATGGGTGATAGGGATTGCCGTCCGGGTCAAGATCCACCGTCCAGATGAAAAAGCCGTGAAGTTTAATCGTGTTTTCGTTTTAGTCAGTGGATTTCCGAATATCCAAATCCAAAATGGGTCGACAGCGCTTTTTGTTTAGATGTTCCTTAGGGTGGTACCTACCATCAAGTGCACAACATGTTTGTCTGCCCTACCATCAAAAGGCCTGTAAATAAAATCGCATAATATTTTAGCAACTTTTGTAAGCTTCATTTATAAGTTTTTATATCGGTTTAATGCACGTAAGTCGTTCAAGTGCATAAATCACAGATTAACGACGTACCGAGGTAAGTTTCGAGTGTAATTTATCTTCGGCATTGATCGCAAAAAGCTAATCACTGGCATGACAACCCGCCCAACTTCGATACCGTCGAGATTGCCCAAGTTAGCCACTTCCATACTTATTACTTACGTGACGGTGTCATATTAATTATTAATGTAACAACTTTTACCAGCCTAAATCGCGACGTATCGCGGTTTCGGCGAAGTTCAGGATTCCTTTAAAAGTTGCGAAAGTATTACGTTTCTCTTTTTGCCCTTTTGTGCCTATTTGTCACTGTACAGCGTCAAAGCTTTGTATTCATGTTATTATATAATTGTGCTAGTTGTCCCCGCGACTTCGTTCACGTAGAATAGATATTTCGTTCATCATATTTTTAAAATCATAAGTCGATTTTAGGTAGAAACCTTTTTCGCCTCGGGCAGGATTTGATCCGCCATCCACACTGCTCCGGGTGTTACAATCGATGTTTAAGTTATATAGTGCAATCATTTAAATAAAACACTTTAACGGTTTAAAACGCGATATATTAGTTAAACTGATTTAATCAACAAATCAGTTTAACTAATATATCGCGTTTTAAACCGTTAAAGTGTTTTATTTAAATGTGTACTACTCCCGTAAACTATAGACAGTATTTAGTGCAATCATGTGTAAAAAATGTAACTGTTCAAACAATTTTTTTATTTTTGCAAACATCCTCGTCAGTTTTACACATTATAGCTGCTTACCATCGTCGTCGTCACCATGCCGTGATTCTTGCGAGTTAATCTTAAAAAATGGACATATATTGTCGTGTACATTTTTTACGCCATTTAAAGAATCATTCTTTTAAACACAGTTTTTTTTTGTTTTTCCATTTGTTCCTGCTGCGTACACAACGGTAGCCCCCAAAGATAAATCATTATTCCCGTTTTTTTTCACAAATTATCACAGTTTTTCGATCGTTTTGTTCGTAGCCTGATGTTTTATAGCATAAAGTCTTCTCATTAAAAAAACCATTCGGACTAGTCGGGCCCTGAGATTAGCGCGTTCATACAAACAAACTCATCCCACAACGTAACGATCAAAAGACACTTACGTGCATTCTTAATATAGATAAAGCTAGTTAATTTTAAAAGAAAACATTCGAAAGATACAAGACAATTGAGGTTCCAAACAAGCTTACCATTCCGCTTGATTATTCTTAATTACTACTCCACGAAGATTTCTTCGACTTGTAGGTCAATGAGATTTTCCTTTTCATTTTCCACTCATTTGGCAATGCAATTGAGCGAAGTTGTTCAGCGAGATCGTTTGTTTTTAAATGATTGCTAATAATTTTCGGTTTCTGTTGGAATTTGTGTTTTGCTCGAATCTTTATAATTTCATCGTATACTAGCAGTATGCTGATACTTCGAGACCCGTCGATTTGTTTTCCATACCTCATCTTTATAAATTATACCTGTTACCTACGACGTCGTCCACTTCCCGTCGTTTTTGTGAGTTACTCTTACTGTCACTTACTGTCTGTTTATTTACCTTATTTTACAAAAATTGTATCATTCTTTAATACGTAGTTTTTTGGTATCTTGAATTCAAAATTAATTATTTTGTATCTTCTCTCCTAGTGGTCGCATCGTGTGATGTCTAATAGTCTCAACACCTTCCTCGATAAATGTAAATAGTAGTTCTTGAGATTAGCGCGTTCAAACAAACAAACATACAAATATCCACTAGTGCCGTTCTTGTATTTATGTTTTTGGCGTTATTCAGTAGTGAAGGAAATTCTTACATTCAAAATTTGTTTCGCAATGAAAATATTATTTTGGCGTTAAGCTTATTTGCGTTAGCCCAAGTGTGCAAAACAAACAATTCTTATGATAAGCTTCACTATCTGTGAATCAGGTCAGAAAATATTTAATCTCAATTCAAATTGGAGTCGTGACGCTGCATAATAATGTGTGTGATATAGTCGGTCTTAATATGTATTCCCCAAATATTCAGAAGGATAAGTCAAGTGTCGGGGATCAAATTGTCCCGGCGGGCCATGGGGACGCATTTCTTATAACGAATATATTTTTATGTTGAGTATAATATTATAGTGGTCTTATTCTTAGAAACTCTTGGGAACGCTCGGGGACGCGTGAAAAAATAGTGATTGTTTTGGCAGTAGGACGAAATTTGTTTGGGTGGCAATTTTAATCTATACAGTGATGTTTGTATATGAATATTTAAATCATAACTATCTAGAGAAATTAAAAGCCCAAAGATTTAATAACTTAACTTTTCCTTTAAATAAAACACTTTAACGGTTTAAAACGCGATATATTAGTTAAACTTATTTGAAGTTAAAAATCATTTTCAAATAAGTTCAACTAATATATCGCGTTTTAAACAGTTAAAGTGTTTTATTTAAACGTGTACTACTCGCGTAAACTATAGACAGTATTTAAATTTTCTTGGTCATACGACTTAACTACAGAACATAAAACAATCTGTCTTTATTCATTCATGAAAGTTTTATCAATGTGACGCTTGTACGCGAGTTAACTTCTGACAAATTTGGTATTTATTCAGTTCATATTAAAATACAACAATAGCGCAGTTTAGATTAGTGGTGTTAAAGGTTAAACTAAAATGCAGAGGTGGTTATTTCTCCCCGTATTCCGCACATAGACAAGAAACTAGTAAAGAAGTAAATGAAATCGTAAACGTAGTAAACAGTCCCTTGAGTATAATTTTTCGCGACCCGAAAACACGCTTCTCGTTTTTAGTTCTTATGCAATCCCAGAACTCGCATTTAAACTTTGCATTGTTTCGCTGTTCAGTGTCATTACATTAATTTAGGAACATTTCTCATGGTGTACCAAACGGCTTGGTTTTACGATCGAATTAAGTTGGCGAATTATTTGTATATAAATAAGTGGATAATGCATCTAGCAACATGATTTTGGTTGGCAGAGAAAACGGCTTTTTACAGCGGTAGACAGACAAAGATTCTCTTGATGGAAAGTGCTATCGTCCAACCGTATATCATGTAAAAACCATGCACTATCGACCTTTCTTGAACAAAATACTTTTTTTATGATTACTTATTACTTTGATATTATGTAATAAATAATTATCGTGTTTTAACACGCAAATGTTGTTTGATATGCCTACGATATAATTCTAATAAACTTTGATGTTTCTTTTTTATATATTTATTTATAAACCAATAAAAATACAAAAAATTTACTGCGTGTCATGTGCAATAGTTTTTATGTTCAGACAAACTGACATGCACTTGTCGTCCATAGTAGCTTAAAGAAACGTGAACGTAAATATAATTATGTGTCATTCACAAATTTTCCGAAATGGCTGTTTAACAGAGCGTTAAGTATACATTTTAACGCTCAAATAGGTCTGTTTTTAAATAAAATTTCTGATCATGCTTTTATGCAAAATAATTTGCTTTTGTAAATACACCCGAATCGTTTTTCCGATGCAACATTAACGAAAATAGTTTAAGTTGTTTAATACTTTACTAGATTTTTATAGAATTTAACTGCCTTTGTAGCTAAATGATTAAACGTAGCATTGCGTGAGTGCGAGAGGTCCTGGGTTCATCCCTGGGAAATAAAAGTTTTGGTTGTGTAGGGTACAGAAATCTGTTCGCCCCATGCTCCACTGGGGAAAGGGTATTTCACAAATTACTGTGTAACAATTTAAATATTGCCCAGTGCAGTGGTTGAGTGCTATATATTTTTTTTTAACTAAATGACTTTTTATATTATTGATTTCTGGATTTTCCCACGTTCTGTTGTTTCTTCTATTAAGAAGACCACGTATTAACTGAACTGGACCAGGAACCAGTATTAACTGGTTTGGAGATTTCTATACAATATGATCAGACTAAATGACATTCATATCTATAACTTCTAGAAGATGGTATATCCTAACATTGTAATTACAATTACCAATACTTCAATCTGATATGAATGACCAAGAAATTTATAAAAATATGCACAATACATTGTTTATTAGATGTCACTTAAGCTATAAGCTGATGGAACTTCCTACGTGTTTTGTTGAAGTACTGAATCAGATTTATACACTTGGTGGTAACTTATTTGACTGAATTCAGTAGTTGTTTGGATTGGATATATAGATCTCCTTAAATACATCTAGCAATAGATCTCTAATAAAAACTACGGAGGAACAATACTCTTAAATCATAAGTCTAAT